TCAAAGCTAAAGCGCGAAATTAGGCAAAATGACCGAAATGCCCCTCAGGCCAACGTCTCGGAACCGGATAAATTTAGCATTTTCAGAACCCTCGTACTCTCACGAGTCTAACCATATAAAAATCTCTCAAATCGGATGTCAAAACACCCCCTCAAAACTCAATAATTCGGTCTATGAAGTTCTACCCATTTTTCATCAAAAATCTGAAATTAAAGGATGAAATTAAAAGGAGATTCATGGAAATTGGTCTAAATTGAGTGAGAATTACTTACCCAAGTTGCCCAGGTGAAAATCCCTTCAAAAATCGCCAAGGACCGAGCTCTAGAAGTCAAAAAATGTGATAAAAAGATAAAACCCTCGAATTTGGGATTTAATTCTGCCTACCCAGTGATTTGTTCATCGCGATCGCGGAACAAAGGTTGCGATCGCATAGAGGAATTCGAGAAGGCCTAGAAAATGTACATCGCGAACACAATGACAGGAACGCGAACACGGAGAAGAGGAAGACGGTGCTTCGCGATCGCGTAACCATGAGTGCGAACGCGTTGAAGGAATACCAAAGTCCTGAGATTGCTCTATGCGAACGCGGGATCTGAGATGCGATCGCGAAGTGAGGAAAATTATACATTCGCGATCGCGGGAGAGGCTTTGCGATCGCGTAAAGGATATCAGAAGCAGCAGTTCAGCAGTTCAAAAATAGAAGAAAAGGATCCGTAGCCCACCCGAAACACACCCGAGGCCCCCGGGACCCCGACTAATCACGCACACAAGTCACATAACCTAACACGGACTCGCTCGAAGTTTCAAATCACATAAAACAACATCGAAACGACGGATCAAACCAAAAATTAAGCTTATGAACTTCCAAATCTTCAAAATACGCTTTCGATCAAAAACCTAACCAAACCACGTCCGAATGACCTAAAATTTTGCACACACATCCCGAATGACATGACGGAGCTACTGCAACTTCCGAAATTCCATTCCGAGCCTCGGATCAAAATCTCACTATCGGACCGGAAACTTCAAATATTCAAACTTCGGCATTTCAAGCTTAAATTAGCTACGGACTTCCAAAATATATTCCGAACACGCTCCCAACCCCGAAATTACCTAACGGAGCTAACGGAACCATCGGATTTCCATTCCGAGGTCGTCTTCACACTGTTCTGGTTACGGACCATTTTTCAACTGTTAAGCTCTCATTTAGGGACTAAGTGTCCCAGAACTCTCCAAAACTCAACATCGAACGTCCCGGAAAACCAAAATAGCATAAATGAACTTAGGGGAAACAGTTAATGGGGGATCGGGGCGTGAATTCTAAAAACGACCGGTCGGGTCGTTACAGTTCTGTTGTCCCAACATGTTGCATTTGAATTAGTCCTTGCACCAATTTCTCCCTTACAAATGACAGTCAATATCTATATGCTTAGTCCTCTCGTAAAAGATAGGATGTGTAGCAATTTGAATAGCTGCTTTACTATCACAGTGCAATGACACAAGTAATTTGATATCCATGCTCATTTCTCTAAATAGTCCAACTAGCCATACAATCTCAGCAACTGTGGTTGCCATACTTCGAAGTTCTGCTTCAGCTGAACTTCTAGACACTGTTCCTTATTTTTTTTAATTTCCAGGAAATTAGTGCACCACCAAACTTTACCACATATCCAGAAACTGATCTTCTAGACTCCACACATGCTCCCCAATCAGAATCACAATAGGCTACAAGTTGATTGCAGCTACCAGTAGGCATAAAGAGTCCAAGTCCTGGTGTAGACTTAATGTACCTTACCACTCTCTTTGCAGCTTCCATATGAGAAACTTTAGGTGCATGCATATATTGACTGAGCAACTGTACTATAAAGGTTATGTCTGGCCTTGTCATAGTTAGGTACAGTAATCTACCTATAATTCTCTGATAAATGCCTTTATCTTCAAGTAATATATCTTCAGATGCATTCTTGCTTACTTCATGATCAAACTCAACAGAAGTGAGTTTATGATTGAACTCAAGGGGTGTACAGACAGGTTTTCCACCTGCTAAGCTAAGTTCAGAAATCAATTCCAAGGCATACTTTCTCTGACACATCAAGATACCCTTTTGAGACCTTGAGAATTCAATTCCAAGAAAATACTCCAATTCTCCCAAATCCTTCATCTTGAATCTTTCCTCTAATTCTTTTCTGACTTGTCTAATAATGTGTAGAGTGTTTCCTGTGATCAGCAAGTCATCCACATATACTAGTACTATCACCAGTTTTGTTCTTGTCTTTTTAGTAAAAAGAGAGTAATCATAATGGCTTTGCACAAACTTCAAATCTAGGAGTGCTTCAGTCAGTTTGAGATTCCATTGTCTGGGTGCTTGCTTCAGCTCATACAAAGACTTTTGTAATTTGCACACTTTATGATACTCCCCCCGGCTTGAAAAGCCATCTGGAATGTGCATGTAAACCTCTTCTACCAAGTCACCCTGCAAGAACCCATTATGCACATCCATCTGGAATACATACCAACTGGAAGTAGCAGCTAAGGCAACTACAGCTCTCACAGTAACCATTTTGGCTACTAGTGAGAATGTTCCTGTGTAGTCTAGGCCTTCCTGTTGGCTGTATCCTTTGGCTACTAATCTGGCCTTATATCTCTCCACCTCACCATTGGATTTATACTAGACTTTGAAAAACCATTTACACCTAATAGGAACTTTGTCTGGTGGCAGGTCTACTATAGACCATGTGTTGTTTTCTTCCAAAGCTGAGATCTCAATTTGTTTAGCTTCCACCCACTTAGGATCAGCACTAGCTTCACTGAAGGAATTAGGTTCAGCAATGACAGAGTAATCCGGAAAAGAGGCTTGATAAGCAGGAGAGAGTTGATCATAAGACACATATTGTGGAATGGGATTTGAGCAAGTTAACTTCTGAGGTTGAACTACATAATCATTGGGCCATACAGGAGGTTTTGAAGGTCTTGAGGATCTCCTAAGTGCTACAGGAGGAGTTGAATAATCAGTTGGAATCTCTGCAGGCACAGATGTTGAGGGATCATCATTGACAGGTGTAGAAGGAGATGACTGAGTGATAGGAGAGATGTTGCCAGAAGATAATTGTTGAGCATTCTTACAGATGTGAGATGAATTTGTGAACCCAAGAACAGGAAATAAATAAGGAACACCAGACCTCATATTCTTAAAGGGAAAGATATCTTCCTTGAACACATCATCTCTTCTCACAAAGAAACTTTTGGAGTGAAGATCATATAACACACAGCCCTTTTGAGAGTAGGAATACCCCATGAAAACTGCTGGGACTGCTCTAGGACGAAACTTGTCTACCTTCTGTACTTTAGTGGCATAACATAAGCTCCCAAATATCTAAGGTGCTGAATGGATGGACCCTTCTGATACAGTGCTTCAAAGGGTGTCTTTCCCTGAAGAAGAACAGTAGGTAGCCTGTTCATTAGGTATACTGCAGTGGACACACATTCTCCCCAGAAACGCAAAGGTATATAGACCTGAAATCTGAGTGCTCTAGCCATATCTAGAATTGATCTATGTCTTCTCTCAACAGCTCCATTCTGTTGAGGAGTGTACACACAGGAACTTTGATGAAGAATTCCAAGATTTTGCAATAAGGAGGTCACCTGATCATTTACAAATTTAGTGCCATTATCTGTTCTAAGACATTTAGCAGAGGTCCTGAACTTATTTGTAACCATTGCCAGGAATTTTTCAATGCCACAATAGTATCAGCTTTAGTGTTTAGAAGAAATATCCAAATATACTTTGAGTAATCATCAACTAAGATCAAGAAATATCTGTTGTTGTCATTGGTAGGGATCCTATAAGGACCCCAAACATCTGCATGCACAAGACAGAAGTAGAACATGAAAAGCTAAGATGAGAAGGAAGTCTGGACTGCTTTGCAATGGGACATACAGTACAGTGATCACCAGTCAGGTGCACATCACTTAAGCTATGTATTTTGTGTACTACCTTTAGAGGAGCATGTCCTAACCTTTTATGCCACAGATCAAACTTATGTGCTGCCCTCACTAGTCTTACTAACACACTTATTTGTACTACTAACAGTGGTATTTACAGTTGGTGATAAATGTTGCTCAGAAAATTGCCTGTATTCAGTTTTGAGAATGTAGAGACCAAGTTTTTCTTTACCAATCTCCAGGACCTTCCCACTAAAGAGTTCCTGAAAGGCACAGAAATCAGAGAAAAATGCTACCATACACTTTAGTTCTTTTGTAATCTTAGAGACTGAGAGTAGGTTATACTTGAATTCTGGAATACGCAATATGTTCTGAACCTTCTTATCCCTGAAAAAGGAACAGATCCCAGTGTGTGTAATAACAAACTTCTCACCAGTAGGGGGATATACTTTATTTTTATCTATTTCTGATAATTCTTTATAGGAATCCAATAGATTTAAACTATGCACCATGCGATTAGAAGCCCCTGTATCTATTATCCACTTATGATTCACCAAGGAAGACATAAAAGCATATATGTTACATGTTGTTCCTGTAGTTGCTGAATTAGCTACAGGTTCAGCATCCTTGCCTTTGTTCAACATCTGCAATATCTGCTGGTACTTTCCTAGAGTAAATAATTGAGCTGGAGAACTGAGAGTAGAGCTTCCTAAGGCATTATTTTGAGCTTCTGAAGATTGACTGCCATAGTTTCTTACATTGTTGGACTGAGCAATAAAATGTTCTCCTCTTTTCTTGTTTTTGAAATCAGTTGGATATCCATGTAGTTTGAAGCAATTCTCCTTGGTATGTCCTTTGCACCTGCAATACTCACAATAAACTGGTGACTTCTTGAATGAGTTTTTAGCTTTATAACCTCCAGTGTATCCAGTGTTCGTAGAGCCTACATTGTTGTTGTAGTGCCTATTACTCATCATAGCTGCAGCTTCATTGACATCATTAGAACCATACACACTCTTTCCATTGATCCTTTGGCTTTCAATATTAATGATCATAGCTTAAGCTTGATTCAAATTAGGCAGAGGCCTAGTCATCAACACCTGATTCTTAGCATTTTCATATGAGTCATTAAGCCCAGTGAGAAACGGATAGAGTTTTCGAAGTTGATAGTGCTCAACATGCTTCTTTGATTCAGGACAGCCACAAGCAGGAGGAGAAATCAATGTTTCATACTCATCCCACAGTTTTCTTAGTCGAGAAAAGTAAACAGATACAGAGGATACTCCTTGTGTTAATGTAGCTATTCTTTATGCAGGTAGGCTGCCCTAGAAGCATTAACTTTGTCAAATCTCTCCCTAAGATCTTCCCAAACAGTATAGCCATCTGATGCATAGATTACAGTACTAAGCAGATTAGGAGACACGGTATTCATAATCCACGCAAGCACTATCGCATTACATCTATCCCATAGTTCATGAAGGCTAACATCATAGTTGCTCTTTTTGCAGGTGCCTAGAACAAATCCTAACTTGTTTTTGCCATGCAATACGATTTTCAATGACCTACTCCAGATCGAGTAATTTTCAAATCCTTGCAATTGAATAGAGATAAGGATCGAACCTTGCGTATCAGATGTGTGAATGTACAGAGGATGATGATGATCCACCTGATCTACTGATTGAGCTGCATTCATCGCTGGGAGCTGAGGATCAGTGACATCTTCATGAACCGACATGGTTGTGAATTGAAGAACTTCGAGTGTTTTGAATCGAGGAATAGAAATGAGTATATAGGCACATGCACAAATTGATCTCCTCCAAAATCGATTCAATCTAGCAGATCACACACAAATTTAAAACCCTAGCCTTGAGTAGCTGAAATTAGGATGAAAATTGGAACAGCCAGTTACATAAAGCAAGAGATTGAGACTGAGATTAAGGAATTCCGTCATAGCTGAGCCATCATCACTAGATTAACCGAGCTCTGATACCATGTTAAAGAGAGCTCTAGCTATGGCGGTATACAGAGGAGTTAGGGAGAAGATAGAGGTGGAGAAGAAAAACATTACACTACAAGAAAATCACGTATTACATGAAGATTTTTCTGGGGATTATACAGAATTCTCAGGAAACTTAGTTTCCTACAAATTTTTCTTTCAAAAAAATTCGATGGAAAAACCTTCATGGGTAATTATTACCTGCGGAATTTATAAATCCCCGGGTACATTACCTGGGGATTTCTAAATCCGTATGTAAATTACCTGGGATTTTAAACTGCATGTAAATTATTTGCGGATTTTTTCGTAGGAAATTCTAAAAATTCACATGAAACTTTTGGTAAAAATTTTATGAAAGTTATGAGTTTTCGCGAATTTCATAGGGAAATATCTGCAAGAACCCCATGAAAATTCCTAATAAATTTTTTAGAACCTTTTAGACAATAAATTAAATTGCTGTCGTAGTATTTTATTATTCAAAATAATTTTTATTAAACGCAACTCCTCACATAGTATATGTTTTGTATACGAGCCCCACACAGGCACCACAATATTATTTTATATTTTTAGTAATTACTAACAACTATAATTTATTATTAACTATTAGTTAGTTTTCTAATCTAAATATATATGCAAACACCCCTCCTTTATCAATTATGCCAGAGGCTTCTAGTAGCTTTGCTCGTGGTAATGCACGAACGTGTTGAACTTATAAAGTGGAGATTCTCACCTCTCTTGGCTGATGTGGGACAAGGATGTTCCCTCTGTAAGTCTATCCCATCTTGGTACAATTTTAATGTTTCCTTCTTATATTTTTTTGTTGTTTTGAAAAAAGATGCATTAATTAAGAATTTCATGAACCAATGAAAAGTTTTGATTAGAAGTAAAAGCAAGTGAATTAAATTACAATTATATTACTTTTAATTTAAAAATATTCTTGGTTACTATGTTTTTGTAAGTTTCATTTATATTCCTGAAATACCACATCAATTCCTTTTTTATATAAAAAATATATTAATTAATGAGAATCATTACACATGAAAATTAGTCAGAACTCCTCGTTAATCCTATATATGCAAGATTGATTTATTTTAAGAATATACGAAGTTAATCAAATGTAGAAAGTAGAATTATATGATCACTTGATATTAAGTTTCAATACTGACAAGTGAACATCTACAACTAATATCATTTTATACATATTATAATTAAATGGCGAAATCCATAGACAACCCCTTTTAGTTGTCCTCAACGATCACGCAAACACCTCAACTGAGCCCATTTTCAGTTGGATACTTCAAGCCTTCAATAAAGTAGGTCAACTAAACACCCGACATTATCAGCCCACCTCGACTGAAATACACTCTCGGATTCATGTCAAACGAACAAATAAGAATATGCCATGTGTAATTATAATTAAAAATTTGCCACCTATTACAAAACAAAAATAATAATAATAATAATTTAAAAAAAGAAAGAAGAACAATAATTGTGAAAAAAGCTCCTTTAATCATCATCTATATAGAATCACCGCCGATCCCTTCCTCCTCATCCAGTTTTCTTCAGCAACTATTTCCTCTTTTTCTCCTTAATCACCTTTTCAATTCCATACCTCCTCCTTTGATTTCAGTTTTTCCTGATTCCTTCCCCCTTATTTTCATTTCAGATTTCTCCTTATCCTCCAATTTAAATTCCCAGCCCTCACCTGTGTTAACCAATTGTGTTTCAAGCACCACCACCATTTTTGCCACCTTGGGAGTGATGTGAGATTGTTTGGGAGTTATTGAAGGTAATTATGAGCTTGGAGAGGTTGAATTGGGTAGAAGTGGGTCTGAAAATTTTTTGGTGGTACCTTGAGATGTCGAGTTTACTGAGCATGTTTGGCTTCTGAAATATTCATATTTTCCTTGATTTCAGAAGTAATTGAGCCTATTTTTTGTCGACCAATCAACGTGGCGGTCACAGTTGCCGTGAATGAAGACAAGAGAATAAGATTGATATGATGTTACCATTGTTCTAAAAAAGTATGATTTTTTAACACAAAAAAGGTGGACTTATTCTTTTTTAATGTAGTAGTCGGACTTGATTTGTGTTCTGGTGGTTGGGCTGCCCTTTTACTGGTGGATGGTGAGTTGTTTTGTTGGGTGGTACGGTGGGCGGAGTGACCTTTTAGGATGGCTGGTTGATGGAGCGGTCGTATGGGGGTGGGGCAAACTTTAGTTAGTACTTTAAGTCCATTCACGCGCTAAAATTGGATTGAGAAGCACACAATATGACATGTCAGCATGAGGTGTTTAGTTGACTTATTTAATTGAAAGCTTGAAGTGTCCAATTGAAAATAGGCTCAGTTGAGGTATCTGCGTGATCGTTGAGGACAACTTAAATGGGTCGCTTATGTATTTATCATTTTAAAAAGTAGAATTATATGATCACTTGATATTAAGTTTCAATACTGACAAGTGACACCTACAACTAATATCATTTTATAACATATTATAGTTAAATTTTATCATTTTAAAAAGTAGAATTATATGATCACTTGATATTAAGTTTCAATACTGACATCTACGACCAATATCATTTTATACATATTACAACTAAATTTTAACATTTTAAATACATGTGAGAAATTGGCATACATAATATAAGAAGTTAATTAAAGTTAGTTATATTTTTTATAAATGTAACATAAATTTTTTTATGCTTAGAAAATTAAACTTAAATTGTGCACTTATGCACAATTTAGTATATTTTTCGATAATATTAGCCGAAAATGCTAGATGTAGTCGTATCTTAGTTTTGTTATATCCTTTTATATCAACTATATTAAAATTTAATTCTTAAAATAACTAAATTTATGAAATTATTTGTTATTAAATATGTTCAAAAAGGTAATGATTGACTATATTATGCTAAATGACTATATAATTTAATTTTTTCTGCTTAGAAATTAAGCTTAAATTGTTCATTTATACGCAATTTAGTATTTTCTTTATGATATTAGCTTTATTATCCTTTATATCAATCATATCATCGTAATTCTTAAAATAACTAGAGTTATGATAATTATTTTTTTATGAATTTGTTCAAAACTTAATAACCAGTTATATTATGCTCAATAACTTGTAATATGCAATCCAACATATATGATATAATTAGTTAGAAAGTTAATTAGAATTAGTTATATTTTATAAATGTAACTTAATATTTCTCGATTTCGGATTGAACTTAAATTATTCACTTATTCATAATTTAGTATATTTTTTGAAGATATTTGATTTATTAAATCCACTTATATCAACCATATCAAATTTTTAATTTTTAAAATAACTAAAGTTATGATAATTATTTGATATTAAATTAGTTCAAACAAAATGATACCCGATTATATTATGCTCAATGACTTGTAATATTCAGTCCAGCATATCTCACACAATTAAGTTTTATATAGGATCAACATTTTACTATTTACCTATAAATAAATCGATAAAATATAAAATGGATATAATCAATACCGAAGGATGAATTTTACATATCATGTTTTTCAACGTTTAAAAAGATATAAATTTTAAATTAAAAATACGTTTTTCTTGTATTAATATTTTTAAAGTGTGTTGAAAGAATTTCAAAATTAAATATGTGGCTATAAAACTTTCAGATAAATCTTCAAGTATATCCAACTGAATCAACATTTATAAAATTCCCATATAAATTTCAAGAACAAATCTCCAATCAAAACCATATCAATGAAATACCCAAATAAATTCACAAAAATAAGTTTTCAGCAAAATCACACAATTAATCTTCAGTTAGTTTCTTAGGTAATAACGGCCCGACCAGTCGTTTTGAGAATTTGCACTTCGCTCGATAGTTTGGCGGTACAAGTAGCTCCGTATGATGTATTAGGACTTGTTTGCAAAATTTGAGTTCATTCCGAGTTGATTTGATATGTTTCGGCGCGAGTTTTTGGTAGTCGAAAGTTCGAGAGTTTATTAAGTTTGATTTGAGGTGTGTTTCGTCGTTTCGATATTTTTATGCGTGATTTAAGGTCTCGAGTAGGTCCGTGTTTTGTTATGGGACTAGTTGGTATGTTTAAACGGGGTCCCGAGGGGCTCGGGTGAGTTTTGGGTAGGTTTAAGTTGTGTTGCACTCGTTTTTGTTTTGTTTCGACGTCGTTTCTGAAAGCATAAATAGTACCACATTAAACAAATGAGCTTTGATTTCTGTTTTGATTAAAGCATTAGATTTGTATCATATTTAAGGAGCCATAGCAAAAAGAATCGTCAAATTTGGACATCGTATGAGGATTTTATGGTCATTTTACTAAGAATTGGGCTGACAGATTTTTTTTAGATTAATTACGAAATTGCCACTGTTTCGTATTTAAAAATCTGCACTATTTCCAAATATTGAAACCAACATATCTCCTTCATTATAAGGTCAAATGGAGTTATTCAAAAGCCTAACTTGGCTGAAATTTCACAAGGAATCCATTGGCGGCATCAAAAGTGAGTTTTAGGATCATTTGACATGCAAAACAAGGCAGAACAACTGGATAAAGATACTTAATATCGAAAGTTTGTTCATTTGGTCATATTTTGAGTTGGGGAGCTCGGATTTGGACAATTTTTTTAGGTGATTTTCACTATATGGATTGGGGTATGTGTTCTATACTCGATTTTGGTTATATTTCATAAATCCATCTTTGTTTTAGGCATTTGATTGATGATTTCAAGTGA